CTACCAAAGATGAGAAGGGTAACGGCGTGGGTACCAAAAGCTATTAATATGCTTGCGGATGTCCCTGAAACAATCGCCGTTTTGAACAAACAAAACCCTCACTTAGAGGTTGCAAATTGGTGTTTGTTACACTCTAAGGAGAAAGAAGACGGCATGCTCATGATCTTCGCTGCTTTTGAAAAAGCGGCTGAATGGCTTGCTACGCACGAAGGCAGAATGAATTTTCTGCTTAGTACCATATTCACTCGGGTGTCGCGTGTCGGCATCAGTGAGGAAGATGAACCGAACAAGACCGAGACGACTGGGGCTGAGCAGTCCAGCTCAGTTTCTCCCTTGGTTAGATTGGAGGCAGCTTCTGCGTCCATGTCCACTGAGCGGGTTGGTGAAACCACCGGCTCAGAAAGGGCGAAACCAGTGGGCACCTCGCACAGGTCGTCATCGGATCTGTCTGACTCAATGTTGATGACTCCCACCTGCTCCCCAAATCCAGATGCCTAGAGAGGAGTTTGGAGAGGACCCTGCGACATTAAGGGTAATACAATGCAACTTGCACCGTGGCAGGGCTGCAACTGCGGTATTATGCAGGCACCTTGACATGATGCAAAACGCTATTGCTCTGATTCAAGAGCCATGGACTATCAACTCGAATGTTTCTGGTTTCGGTTCTCTTAGCGGTTCTGTTTTCTTTTTCAGTACTCAGGATCGACCGAGAGCTGCAATATACGTTCCTAGACATATCTCCGCGTATCTCCTGCCGGAAGAATCAAATCGGGACTCCGCTGTAGTCAGGATTCAATGCTTCCTAGCGAAGAAGAAAACGACGCTGACTCTAGCATCTGTCTACCTGCCTATAGAAGAGATGGCTCCTACTGCGGCCTTGGCAACATTAGTCAACGCTAGTAAGGTAAATAAATGGCTACTCATTGTAGGCTGCGTCTCCAACGCTCATTCTGTTGCCTGGGGATGTGACGAAGGAAACTTTAGAGGTAAGACCTTGCTTGAATTTATTACGAGTAATGACTTGGAAATAATCAACCAAGGCTGTGAACCCACGTTCCTCAATGCTAGGTGTCAGACGATTATTGATTTGACCTTGGCATCGGCGAACGTATCTCAATACATTAGCAACTGGTGTGTCTGCCAGGAAGCATCTATGTCTGACCATAGATGGATCACTTTTGATTTAGGACCAATTATGCTCTTGAGAAAGAGGGTCCGGGATCCAAAGCGGACTGACTTGAGCATTTTTGCAAGCTGTTTAAATGAGCAATTGCGAGATTTTCCAGATGCCTCTCCTGGAAATACCGATGAATTGGAGTATTACTCAAACCTCGTGGGTGACACACTAACTCAGGCCTTCCACAGTGCATGTCCTGAGAGAATTGTGGAGGAGAGAGGGAGGGCTACACCTTGGTGGACTCCTGATCTACATTCACTGAGGGTCACTTGCAGAAAAGCTTTTAATAAAGCAAAACAAACTAGACTGAATTCTGACTGGACCTTGTTCAAAACACACCAGTCACAATTCAAACGTTTAGTACGACAAAAGAAACGACAACCCTGGAGAGGTTTTTGTGAAGAGGTGGAGAGCGCTGCTGAGACCTCACGCCTAAACAAAATACTATCTCGCGGCCAAAAGCACAGTCATGACATTCTAAAAAAGTCTGATGGCTGTTTTGCCAATGATCCAGAAGAATCGTTGCATTTATTAATGGATGTTCATTTTCCAGGTTCCTTGCAAGATTTTTCAATGCTTCTACACCAAGTGGAATTTAACAACTCTCCTAGCAGCCAGGACTGGCAGATAGCTAACCAGGTTATAAGGAATGAGTTGGTAGAGTGGGCCGTCGGCAGTTTTGAGCCCTTCAAAACACACGGACCCGACGGTATATTTCCTGCTCTTCTTCAATGGAGTCTAGAGGATATGAAAATACACTTGATGAGAGTTTTTAAGGCCTGCTTACCCTTTAACTACGTTCCCATCAGCTGGAGGAAGGTTACAGTAACCTTTATACCAAAGAATGGAAAAAAGGACCCAGCGGATATTAAAGCCTTTCGACCAATTAGTCTCTCATCATTTCTTTTAAAGACGCTTGAAACACTATGTGAACATTACATTAGAGAGAATGTACTTAAAGCGTTTCCTTTGCACTTCAACCAACATGCATATATCAAAGGTAAATCTGGGGATAGCGCCATACACATGGTAGTGGGGCGCATCGAACAAGCACTTGATTCGAAAGAGTCCATTCTGGGAACTTTCCTTGACATAGAGGGAGCGTTTGACAAAACCACCTGTAGTAGCATTAACCTGGCACTGGAATCTCGAAGAGTGCCATCGGTCATCGCGGGCTGGATTAAAACAATGCTAGCAAGTAGAGTTGTTCAGACTAAGGCGAAAGGACACACAGTACAGAGAGCTGTGGTTAAGGGTTGCCCACAAGGTGGGGTACTCTCACCGCTTCTCTGGTGCTTAATAGTTGATGATCTCATTCGTGAGTTAAATAATAAATATCTATCTTGTTAAGAGGTAAACCTGACAATTTTCTTTGTTACAAAATGCAGCAGGCGCTTAAACTTGTTGAACGATGGTGTGAAGAACATACCCTCTCTGTCAATCCTAAAAAGACAGAGACTGTTCTCTTCACTAAACAGAAGAAACTGGGACACTTAACGCCACCCAATTTCTGCAATAATCCATTAACCTTTGCTCCAAAGGTGAAATATCTGGGTGTTATCTTGGACAAAGGACTAACTTGGACATCATACATTAGTTGCAAAACCAAAAAAGCAACGATTGTACTGACCCAGTGCCGAAGGGCTATTGGGAATACTTGGGGATTAAATCCGAAAGTTACAATGTGGATCTACATTTCTGTGATAAGACCCATGGTAGCTCACGGAGCCATAGTTTGGTGCTCAGCACTAAAACATGAATATAAAGCTACATTGCTGCATCAATTGCAACGACTGGTCTGCCTGCTAATCACAGGCCCTATGAGATCTACACCTACGATTGCAATGGAGACTATGCTAAACGTGCTGCCCCTAGATATTTTTATCAGGCAGGTGGCCGTGATGGCATTGCGTCGGTTGCGATCAGTAAATGAAAAGCAGGTTGTTGAAATGGGAATAGTCTCTGGAGCAAGCTCTGGAGTGATGCTGTTAGTAAACAACCCCTCCTTAAAGCTCGCACAGACTACATTACACCTACTTTCTTAGGCAAGCCACACTTTGGCATTGAAACGATACCCCAGAGCAACTCAAGCTCGGGCAAAATGCTGACCATCTGCACTGATGGATCAAAGAAGGCTGGAGGTTCCGGAGCGGGAATTTTCTCGCACGACCTCCAGCTGCACCTTTCCACTTCGTTAGGATCGTATTGCATGACTGCTCAATCCGAATTAATTGCTATAAACATAGCAGCCGATGCGATTATCGACTCCAAAAAAGTCGGCAGAAACGTTGTAATCTGTACTGATAGCAGACAGGCTATGCTGGCGGTTGGCAGGCATCATACTGCATCATTGTTGGTGAAGTCCTGTCGGCAATCACTCGAAGAGGCAAACGTATACAACAACGTCACGATAAAATGGCGAAAAGGACACATCGGAATTAAAGGACATGATCATGCGGACAGATTGGCGAAGCGGGCGGCTATCAAGTCACCGATCTCCCCTGAACCGTTTGTATCACTAGCTGTTAATACAGCATCAAAACTGATAAACTCCATCTCCCACCGAGCTTTTTACGACAGATGGGATGAGACAGCAGTAGGTGCCTTTGCTAAGAAAACTCTGCTCTACCCTGACCGGAAGATATCTACTCAGTTTCTGGGAAAATCGAAAAGTGACTTGAGGCTTCTCACCCACTTCCTGACCGGACACTGCAGGTTACGTAAGCACATGTTTTACATGAAGCTGGCGAATACACCCGACTGTAGAGGGTGTGAAATGGAAGACGAGACGGTAAGTCATATTGTTTGTGACTGTCCAAACCTCGCGTACTTAAAGGAATCTATTTTCGGAGTACCATGGCTCCAAAATTCGGATAAAAGGAACATAGCTTTTTGTTCTATATTAACGTTCATGAAAAGATTGGGCTGGTTTTCTGACCCTTGAATGAACAGTAAATTGTGGGGACGTACAAAGGGTCCGCTGGGGCCTAAGTGCTGTGAGTAACTCACCCCCACGTGAAACTACATACATACATCCCTTCCATTATTTAACTCCCTAATTGCTGCCTGTAATTCTTCTTCTCTCTCCCCATCGTCTATCAATTGTGTTTGCTCTCATAATACTCTCTCTATCTATTAAGGATTTCAGTATTCTATAGAATAGTTTCAGGTTTTCTGCGCAACTCTTTTCTCCAAACCTTTTCCATTGTTCATTTTTAATAGCAGTTATCATATCTGTAATCTCAAGGTAGCTGTAAGCCAAGTACGATGATGATGATGCTTATTAATAATAGTGTATCACAAAGACATCATCCATTAACTAGTTCTATACAAGATTTCCAAATCATGTTCTTTAGAAAATATAGTTACCTAAACAATTTAATCAAATCAGTGTATACAAATAATCTACATATAATTAAAAGAAATAACAAAACTTAGATAAGTAATTAAAAAGTTAATTAAAATTTTGATTATAAACAGAAGACAAACTGGTTCTTTTATCTGGACTTAAAATATAATCTTCTGCGATGGGATTTCTGCTAAAGAAAAATTGTAAATATTTTTAATAACAGTTAAATTGGTTTTTACATAGACGTTTTTATTATCTCATTTCTTAACTGTGAATTATCTTGAAAAATATTACTTTGGATTTTTATCTTTTCGTAGCAGTACTTCCCCAAGCCGAATTATTTGTGTTGAGATAACCTTGAAACTTGGTAATTTACATATTTTCCCGTTTTGAGGTCAAAACTCGCGCGTGATTACACATTAATTGAAAGAACCGAATGATTATAAAAGCCGAGATAATGGATGATCTTTAGTATTAATAATTCATCATTTGAAGTGTACGTTTACGAAAATGTCGCAGTTATTAACGAATTACTTATTAATTTTCGTTGTGGTATGTGTGCAAGGAATCTTTGTTTCTTGTGGAAGTAAGTTAACAAAAATTTTGGTTTAACACAAAATTATAAATAACTTAATTTTAGATGCCGATGTATACTGGAGGGATTATAGAGGAACAATCCCAAGAGACGCAGTTCCTACCGATCATGGAACTTACATTGCCCAAGTAATTATTGAAAATGGTGGAATTGTTCCGGGAACTTTATACCCGGATAGGAAAGTTGCTGTGTCTGAAGCACCAAGCGGAAGAGTTGAATTTTTAAACAATATTAAAGTAAAAACCTATTTTTAAAATTTTTCTTAACAATTTATCCCATTTCCATAACAACATAACCATTAATTTTTTTAGATATTATGTTCCCCACAACCTAGTGCTTTAAAATGGGAATACGTAAACACGAATCAATTAGATGCGAAGTTCTTGGAGAAATGCATCGTTGGTGGATTTGAAGTCGGACACACGCTTTATATTGGAAAAGTTTTCCATCAGGGTCAATGGAAAATAGGAAAAGTGTTTCCACCTCATGCTGAACACACAGGTTTGAGAGTTTGGTGGAATGATGGAAATAATTACGCTCCGCAAGATTTTCAAATATTAATGGAGCGGTAATTTTTAGGTTTAAATTTGTGTTTAAAATGTTATACAATTTTTTATTAGAATTTTAAAAGTAATAAATATTTGAAATTAAAATATCGAAATATATATGGTTCTTCGCATTCAGTAATCTCTTCCCAAACTAATCTTAATTAAGTTTCTAAATTCATCTTCACCGAGCGCTAAAGTTTTGTACAAGCCAAGCAATAATTTCCAAAAGCTCAACCGAATCTAAAATTCAAACAAACCTCAATCCCCATAAATCTCTTCTTTGTATAATGGGGTTAATAAGTAAAGATGCGAAGAATCATACAAGATAAGGTAACCTGTGCGATATAAAGAATAATGATAAGTTTAGCCAAGATGCAAATAAATTGAAGGTTGTGTTACAACAGAGAAGAAACCCCAGAACGTTGAATGCAACTAATATAATCTCCTCTTGGTCCTCAACAATGCTAAGTTTTGCAAAATACCTATAGCAATAGCTAAGAATAAAGCTCTTATTTAATTTTTAAGTATTTAGACAAGTTTTCAATGATTACCAACCAGTTTGTAATTATTTTGAATAACTTGGCATAGCTATAAGTTATTTTGCAATCATTTCGACAAGATTCCAATCATTACCTACCAATTTTGCAACGTTGAAGATTTGTTTTGAACATCGTTAGAGGCATTTAGATAAGTTTCTAAACATTACGTTCTAAAGACGCTAAACCCAAGACTTTCTAGTTCTACGTCTAGTGTTAGTTCTAGTTTTAATTCAATGAAAAATATACAACAATCAAACGCAGAATAATAACTACGACTAGAAAGTTTCGGGTTTAGCCGTGCGTCTTCAGACAAACTGAAAATTATTGAAAGTATGTCTAAATGATTAAAAACTGGTTGATTGTCGTGGAAAACTTGGCGATATCATTGAGAGCTGGTTTTTAGCTGTCCCAGGTTGTTCAAAATGATTGAAAATTGATAGATAATCCTTGAAAGCTTGTCTAAATGATTAAAAACTAGCAGGTTATCACTAATAACTTGTGTATAACATTGAAAAGTAGTTTCTAGTTATGCCAGGTTGATCAAAATGATTAAACATAAGTTGGTAATCTGTATAATATTATATACACAGTTGTGAACTTGGTTGCGTACATTACGGTTCATAAAGTTTGCCGAACCTCGTGCTCGACTTGAGGTCAAGAACGAATTTGAGTCGTTTACAAGTATAGAATATAGAAAAATTCTATTATTTACAAACCTTGCTCAAAGGTGAAGCAGCAGCAGTCATTGCTTCACTCCCGATATCTGACATTAATTATGGCACGGCATGACAATTGTTACAACGTCGATACGAAAACGAAAAAGCAATAATAAATGCTAACATTAAAGAATTAGTCACATTAAGAGCTTTCTCTCATACGTTCCAAAAAAACTACCGAGCACTTGCCGTATTAGGTGAAAAGGTGAAAACCTGGGATAGGCTTCTAATTTACTTGCTATTTACTAAACTAGACATGAATTCCAAACGCGAATGGGAAAATCACAGCAAACATATACAAAAACCCACTTTGAATGATTTCATAAAATACTTAAGGTTGTAGACTCACGATCCAACAAGGTCATAATTTTCAATAATTACAAATAATTGTAATGTACGACTGAGTTTCAAGATGTCGTCCGGTCGAACGTCGTAGTAGGAAGATAAACACAATTTTCTTACTTGACTATCTTTATTTTCTCCAGGCGAAGGGGTTTGTACAGAGTATGGTGATCTTTTCGGTTGTAGTTTGATACTGTTAATAATTGGTTTTACAAATTTCGTGATCTTTTATATTAAGTCGAAACGATTAGAATAATCATTAAGTAACGAGAATTACCAAAGTTCGTTCTTAATTGTTTTCGTCTTTTGGTGATCAATTGTTTGTTCTTGATATTTAAATGACATTTAACGGATGTTTTCTTAGTTATCTACTTATGGTTACTCTATTTTAATCTTAAATTTCTTAATTAGATTATTATTTGAAGTTATAACAAGATAATGATTGTTGTTACATTATAGTTATATTACAATTGTATTACAGATACATTACATAATTACCGAGATTATTAAGAAGCATTTCTAATCCGACACATTGGTGGCATAGATAAATATTTAGCGAACATTTTTTGTCTATAACATTTTTCAAAATTTTTCATAATTAATGAGATTTATTCCAAATTCCCACGGTAGAAAAATTGGAATTATTTCCTAATTTTAAAATTAGCTCCGCCTGCAAAAGATTTATTGATGTGGCATACGAGTTTGAGTGTGACGTCACGCACTCTTTATCTACATTGCATCTTTTACGACTTCGTAGAAATAGTCATTTACTCTTTTAAAATCAGCCGAAAGCACAAATTCTTAGGCTTATATTTCTTTTAATAATAATATTTATTATACTAATGGAAAAATGTAATAAGAATTTATAATAAGAACTTATTATAAGTTGTTAATAATTTTTTATTATAGAGAGAGAGAGAGAGGGAGAACCTTTTTATTTTGATGACAGTGAATAAAAACAAGAATAACTTCAACCGAACCACAGAATAACGATACTACCAGAAGTCGCACTCGCTTGGATTTGTTACGGGCAGCGGTACCTCGCGCAGCCTCGGTGCGCAACAGTGTGACGTAGAAATTCATCAAAAAAAATTTAATATTACGATTTTTATAATATACGATATTAAATTATTTTAATTAGAATGGTATTGTTTATATTTTGTTATTTTTAAAATTTTAATTGGCATTTAAAAAAAATATCTATATATACAGCAAAAGCCATTTTCTTTGTACAATGTTTATAATTCTTAGAAGTGGAAATAATAAATAACCTCAGTCAATGAATTTTTAATATATTTTATTTAGGTTTCTTACATCAAACAAAACCGAAATACATATATTTTCTGCATTATAAATGCATACTGTTTTTGGAAAAACCTAAAAATTATTTAGTTATCTTGGAATCATTTTTAAAAGTAGTGACAAAATATTCATTTTGTTCATAGTAATCAAACAGAACAATAAGTGGAAATAATAAAACAAAAAATAATTAATTGTTTATTTTATTTATTAGCTAATATCAATTCTAATATTTACTAATATCTCACTCTCACTCTGCAAAAAAAATTAAATAAAAATTCTTTTCAATAATCAATTGATTGCTTTATCCATAAGTTAAATTTTAGTTTTAGTCATAGAATTCAGTATTTCAAAGGACTTATTTGTCCCAAAAAAGAAATAGCAGGTATAAATTTACGTAATAAATATATATCTACCCTTAATTTTTTTCCCTTTCCTTCACTTTGATTCTTATGCAAACATTCAAATGTCTTTCCGGGGTTTCTTAATGTTTTATAAAATAGTCTTTCTGTAATTGTGGTGCGAGAAAGAAAACGGTTTTAAGTTAAATATTTTTACGTAAATTCCAACAAAGTGAAAAAGACACGTTAGTTTTGTATATTTGTGTAGTTATAATTGTTATTTTTTATCTTATACTAGGTGTAATTTTTAGTAATTAAGTGTAATATTAGTGCGTTAGTGTAAATACTTGGACAAAAATGGTAAATTACTGCAGTGTATATAACTGTAAAAACAATAGTAAAAAAAACATTAATTTAACTTTTTTTTTGTTACCAAGTGATCCTGTGAGGTAAGATATGTTGCTTACTTTTTTTAATTTCCAAGCTTGTTATAAACCATTTTTTAACTAATATTTCAGATTAAATGAATGGTTAGAGTTAACGGGAAGAAAAGAATTACGTATCTTACACCGGGAAACGGTTGCAAAAAGAAGAATATGTAGCGCACATTTTGAAGATTGCATGTTTTCTGGCCTATCATTTAGTAGAAATAGATTGAAAGCTACCGCAAAACCATCAATTTTTGAGAACAATGTGGGATATAAAGGTGAAACATTACATTTGAAATTGTATTAACTTTAACTAAATCATGAAATCTATTTGTTTTAAGCCTTTGAAGATACACCAGCCACATCAACTGCAACTAGCAGCTATTATATAGGTGATTATTACAACTACACATATAGGTGAGTATCAATATAAATGGTATCAGTAACTTTTCTTGCATTTGTTCTTTCATACTGCTTTATATAAAATTGTTTCTTTTCAGCTTTTGAAGCTTCACCATCTACATCAATTGAAACTGGCAGCAATAATCCAACTGTTCAGAGTACACATATAGGTGAGCTTCAATATAAATGTTGCCAGTATCCTTTCTTGCGTTTATTGTTTTATATTGCCTTAACTGAAATTATGAAATGTGTTTGTTTTCAGATTTTCCATCTACATCAACTGACACTACCATCAACATTCCTGTTACTTCGATAACACATACAGGTGCGAATTTCAATCTAAATCTAAAAAGTATCAATACTTTCTAAATATTTTTATAACAGGTTTATTTAATTTTTTTTTTGCTTTTTATTTGTGTAACGTAATTGCCTTTTATTATTAAATAATTCATTTAACACGCATAAACGTACATTTTGTTCATGTTTAGGACTATGTAAGACTACACAAACACCTGCCAGTTTATCAAAGCACTCTCCACGAAAAAGAAAACTTGAAACTGAAGTAAGAACACTGAAAAAACAACTGACAGCACATGAAATGCACCAAGAGAGGAAATCTCAATGCACAAGAGAAAAATTTGAAGAATTCTGTAGCCAGCACTTTAATGAAGGACTTGCAAACTTTATTATGATGCAATTAGAAAATTCTTCAAAAAAATTGAAAGGCAGTAGATATACTGATTCCTTTAAACAGTTTGCATTAACTGTATATTTTTTGGGACCAACCGTGTACAGATTTTTACAAAAAATATTTCATTTGCCACATAAATCTACTTTATGCAGACTAACTGCTCAATGGCCTATCACATCGGGAGTGAATAATTTCATGTATGGATTAATATCGTTAAAAGTTGAAAGTTTAACGCCGGAATCAAGAAAATGTATTTTATGTATAGATGAGATGTCTTTAAAAACGCATCTATTTTACAATAGAACCAGAGATAGTATAATTGGTTTTCATCAAAATAATGGCACTAAACTGTACCAACCTGCAAATTGTGCCTTAGCGATTATGGCGAGAGGCATAACCAAAAATTGGAAGCAACCAGTTTCATATTTATTTATACAAAATACCTGCGAAGTGCAGTATTTAAAAGAAATAGTTTTTTTACATGTATAGCTAAAATGCAAGATATTGGCTTACATGTATTAGGCCTAGTAACAGACCAAGGTTCCAACTTTTTAAAGTTTTCAAAAGAGATGGGAGTGTCCCCTGATAAGCCCTATTTTTGTGTGGGAGATACTAAAGTATATTATTTTTTTGATACGCCACATTTATTAAAATCGACAAGAAATAATTTTTTAAAATATAAATTTCAAAACAATGGCATAATTGATAAAGTACACATTGAAACACTTTATAACATAGATAAAGAAAGAATAAATAGATGTGTGCCTAAACTAACAGAAACTCACTTACATCCAAATAATTTCCAAAAAATGAAAGTGTCTTTGGCAGCTCAGATATTTAGTAGAACAGTGGCCACAACAATGGAGTTATTAATAGCAGTTGGATATTTACCAGCAAGCAGTGCAGCCACAACTCAATTTATTTCCGATATTGACGAATTATTCGACATTATCAATTCACTAAAGTTTGGTGCCAAGAAGAAGAGCCAAAGACCTTTTACGGGATCTGCTGATCAAATAAACCACTTAAAAAAAATGATTTCTTTTTTCAAATCTATGAAAGTTATTGACAAAAACAACAAAGATGTAACAAATACCATGAAATTTATTGTTGGATGGCAAATCACGATTTCCTCATTATTAATGATGTGGGAAGATTTAAAAAATGACATCAAATTTTTGTGTACAAGGTTCATCAATCAAGACCCATTAGAAAACACGTTTGGTAGTGTAAGAGAACAAGGGGGAAATGCCACAAACACCACATCTGTTCAATTCTATAATACTTTTAAAAAAATTTTTTGTTTGAATTATTTTCACCATGTTAAAGGTGCTAATTGTATGGCCGATTTAAGCGATTTGCTCGTAAAATTTAATTACTCGGATGCAGAGAATGCGCGTAATGTTTTTCAAGATCAAAATTCAAGTAGTTGTAATGAAATTTTACAAATACAACCTACCGACTATTTGAATATGGAAATTCCAGAAAAAAATGCTCTTTCTTGGGTGTCGGGATATTTATTAAAAAAATGTCTTACTAAACACTCTTGTAACATATGCATTAATTTTTCCATTGAAAACCAAAATCTTTGTAATGAAACGTTATTGATACATTTTAGAGCCTACGAAAATGCATCCAGAGACATGTATGGTAATTTAAAAAGTCCACCAGTTTCATTTTACATTTATATTAATGAATTAGACAAAATATTTTGCCACTGTTTTCCTACAGTAGCTATAGGCGAAAATGTAGGGAATACAATTAAAAAAGAATTGACAAAAATCCCATTTGATCACAAATGTAAAGATTTTCCAATTTCCTATTTATTATGTTTATATACTAGATTAAGAATTTTTTACACCTTAAAATATTGTAATAAAAGTTTTGGAGAACAAAAATCGAAAAAAAACAAAAAAATTATTAATATAAAACATTTCTAATAAAAATTTAACAAAAATGCGTGCTCTTTAATCATCACCCAATCTGTTCTATATGTATTTTTATTTTATAAAATAATACCAAATTGAAAATCAATTTTATTACAAAATGGCGAAGTGAGGTAAATTAACTTGTAATAATTACAAACATTGTATGAAGAAAATATTTTTTCGCTAAAAACGTTTTAAAACGAAAAATAAATAAATAAAGCCAATTATAATTGAGTGCGTGATAATTGTGGCAAGATAATATAACATCAAAAATGTGTTGTTACCATACAATATTATTTATACAATATATAAGGTTTTATTTTAAACCGTTTTTTTATTATTTTTAGTTATATAATTAAATTTACTATAAAAAACCAACCACAATTAATTTGTGGTTTTATTAATTTTAAATAATATCAATCAAATTTTAATTCAGTGCATCGTAATATTAATTTTTTTTTATATGATTTCTACGTCATACTGTTGCGCACCGAGGCTGCGCGAAGAACCGCTGCCCGTAACCAACTCAAAGGAATACCGCCGAGTGCGACTTCTGGTAGTATCGTTATTCTGTGACCGAACGAAGAATCTATTTCATTATTTATCTAATTTTTTGTTTTTTTTCGAGTAGTACTTCATTTGGGCTAATTCGCACCACTCCTCGGTGCCTCCCCTGTCAAGGTACAGACCAAACAAATCATAAATTATAACCACAAAAGTATGAGCATTTCGAAACGTTTATTTCCAGTACAAATGAAAACTTTTCGAATCTTTAGAACTTTTTGTTTACTTAGGATTGTGGTGTATATTTCTACAATATTCGTCATTTGGGGTTGAGAGTAAATTTCTTTTTTTATTAGATTCTGGTGGTTATATATTTTAAGATACCTCGGTTTTTGAAACAGTATGGTTTGAGTCTTTGCGTCTGAAGATTGTCCTGCGAAATTCGTTTATTTCGAGCAAATCCGTGCGAGTAAAACTCCGTAAAAAACTTTTTTAGAGATAGTTTATTGTTAGTTTTGAATTAATTTAGTGTTTACGTATTTAGTAATTAAGTTTCGAGACAGTGACTCTATAACAGTGAAAATGGGTAAAACCAGAAAACCTCATTCCCAACGTTCATCGAAGAAAAAGCGAGCTCTCAAAGCATCAAGAGCTGCATTTAGGTAAGAAGTTATTGCTATTTTTTTTTGGATAATTAGTAAGTATTTATTATGTTGTTACGCAATACCGTGTTATAAAGAAATTCTTATTTTATTTAACATCTGTTTGTATTTGTAGGACAACTCGCACTATTATCATGGATGATGGCGATAATGTATCATCCTCATTGCAAAATATAAATGTGGATTTATCAAAATCACAATCGCCTACACAAAATTCCCCGCCATACGAAATTCAAAAGAATTCTACATCACAGGTTCAAAGGTAATCAATACCTATACAGTATGATTCAAAAGTAGATGGCTCAAAGAAAAATTAATAACACGTAATACGATTTTTAGAATACTAACGGGTCGTCGTATAGTTGATATAGATTATATTATGAAGCAATTAATGGAACATAAACATGTTGCTTTGTATAACTGCAACATAACAAATCTGCAGTTTGTTAAAGAAGATAGAAGTGGATTTTCAAGTATGTTTCTGTTTGAATGTAGCTTGTGTAAATCACAGCTTCAATTACATTCAGACGATCCTCTTATAAAACCCGATGTTAACATGGCGGCTGTGTCTGGGGCGATTATGTCTGGAAATGGTTTTAAGCAATTAGATGAAATAACAGCTTCGCTCAACATACCACCCATACATAAACGCCAATATTATCAATGCCAAGAAAAAATACACACCGTCATTGGAGAATGTGCGTGGGATGAAATAGAGAAAGCTGGCAAAGAAGAAGTAGCTTTGGCATTAGAACACGGAGATGTCGATGAACAGGGTACTCCATTGCTTACTGTGATTGCTGATGGCGCTTGGAGTAAGCGATCCTATAAAACCAACTACAATGCATCCTCGGGGGTTGTAAGTAATAAGGTTTTTGCATCATTAATGCAACATTTTAATTTATTTTACAAATTTTTTAGGCTTGCATAATTGGTATGCGCACAAAAAAAATTCTTTTCCTCGGAATAAAGAATAAATACTGTGCCATTTGTGAACGAGCTCGCTCATTGGGTATTGATATAAAACCACACGAATGTTACAAAAATTTTAGTGGACCTTCGACAGGAATGGAATCAACAATCATAGTAGAAGGCTTCAAAAAGAGTGTAGAACTACATGGGGCAAAATTTTAGTTAGTGGAAAAAATCGAATGTTCCAATCATCTTTTACGCAACTATTGCATCCGCCTAAAAGAATTATGCGGCCGTAAGTTCAGTTCACGAGGTGTTTTTGTACCTGTTACGTTAAGAAAATTGTTGGAAAAAAACATAAGAAGATTACGGACTGCTGCAGTCGCCGCCGCCAAACATAGATCCAGTCAAATAGACGAGAAACTGCTATGTAAGGACTTGGCAAACAGTATTCATCACGTATTTGGAGATCATCTGAATTGTGAACAATATTTTTGCACCCGGCAAAATCAAAATGAGCGCAATTGGGTACAACAATCAAAACATTGCGGACTGTATGATGATATAAAATCATACATAAATCGTTTAATTTATCATGCACGTAGCCTGATTGTTAATATGTCCACGAACGTAGCGGAGTCCTATAATGCTGTTATAGCTAAATTTGTGGGAGGCAAGCGAATCAATTACTCCAGACGATTCGGTTATAATTTGAGATGCAACATAGCCGCTATTTCATATAATACCAGAGGGGGGGCTTATAAAACAATTTACGATAAATTTAGTAACCGTAATATTGGAAAATATACACTTCAATATTCTACAATTAATTCAGGTCGCGTTTCCAAACGAAATAAATATAAAGCTGGAAATAGACATAAAAAAATTCAACTTGCAGATGAAAATTATGGTTTGGCAGAAGCTATCCCCGATATGTCACCTGCATCATATGCGGAAAAAAAAGAAGCTTTTTTACACACTCTTTTCAAAACGGAGGACGAAATTGCTGAAATCGAAATTAGAACAGCCGGCCAAGGCAAGAACCAACAGTGGCACGAAGAAAGGGCTGTTCGATTGACAGCTTCTAACTTCGGTAGAATTTGTAAAAAGAGAAAATCTACAACTTGTACGAATATTCATCTATAAATGTTTCCCTGCCACGAAAGCAATGCAGTATGGCATCGATAAAGAAAATATTGCCAAATAGCAATTTGAAAAAGAATATAATTTGAACGTACTGCCCTGTGGCTTATTTATAGATACAAAAGATTGTTATTTAGCTGCTTCTCCTGACGGTTTGATAAGGGAAGCGGCCTTAATTGAAATTAAATGTCCTTATTCGGCAATGAAATATAGCCCAAAAGAAGCTATAGAATCAAAAATAATAAAATATTGTACAATAGAAGAGAACCAAATACATCTCAATAGAAACCACTACTACTTCTATCAAATTCAGGGACAATTACACATAACTAGAAGAAATATGTGCTATTTTGTTTTGTGGACACCTCAGGGTATTGAAGTAGAGATGGTACAATGGCAACAACAGTAGGTAAGTATAACAAATATCTTTTTTAATTTCTACTTTTTTTTAGATTTATAAAGACGATGATTTTTGGGAAACAAAAATGGCAGAACAATTGAAATGTTTTTATTTTGATTGCACGTTACCCGAACTCGTTGATCCACGTCATACAAGAAATTTACCAATTCGGAATTAATTACAGCAAATTTATTTTTTTTTAATTTTTTGTTTTAATCACATATAAATTATTTGTGAACTCACATTATAAGTTCCACAAAGTAACGAAAGTCCTAAAATTATTAGATAATTGGATACTGATGTAGATACTGTTCCCATCTTTCTCTAATTTCTTTATAAAAAACCTGTTCTTTTATTCAACCCGAAAGCTTCTAGGAAATGTAAATAAACACATTGAGAACGCAAAAACATGTGTTTTTTATTTGTAAGGGGTAGGGCCTACTAAAATATAAGCCACACCTTCTTGTTTCCGGACGTCCGTCTCCTGGGCCCCTCAGAAACTCTGTGACCGTGAGTCTACACCCTTAAATCAAAGACGTCAAATTTTAGAAGCGTTAGACACTAAACAGTATAACTTTTCAAGTGCAAACAAAAAGAATCAAAGACTCTCAATGTTTCAAATATTATTTGTCCCATCTGCAACGCGTCACATCAAATATACTTATGTCAGAAATGCAAAGATATGACAATAGAAAAGCGTCAATAGAACCGTTAAACGTTTACACTTATGCACTAATTGCCTACGAGTAGGTCACAGAAATGCAGAATGCAAATCACGAAATTACAAAACTTGCGATAAGTGACACAACAGTATGTTGCACAGGAATCAGTTATCCAATAGTAACAGCTCACAAGCGACACCGCCCAGACCTCGTGAAGAAACTGCCCCCACGGTTGATCTTCAAACAAATCACGCATTGGTATCGTCTCGGCTGGTTCAAGACTCATTTGTGCTTTTATCCACAGCTTTAATTACCATATATGATGCAGATAAATCGCCTATAATTTCTAGAGCGCTTTTAGATAATGGATCTCAGCCAAACTTCATAACAAACAATCTCGTCATAAAACTGAAACAAAACATCAAAAATGCTAACGTACCAATTAGCGGATGCAATCAGAATCAAACAAAAATATTAAAACGAACAAATGCTACTATTGGTCCAGATACAATGATTTCAAAATGAATCTCAGTTTTCTCATAACAGATAATATAACTAATATCACTCCACAAATATCACTTGATAACACTAAACTTAACATCCCTGATGAATTGTTTTTGGCTGATCCAGATTTCAACATACCAGCAAACATAGACGTTTTGCTCGGAGCAGGAATATTTATTTATTTTTTGAATTTTATGGCCACAGAACAAATCCAACTCGGATATAACATGCAATAATGCAAAAAACTGTCTTAGGTTGGATAATTACAGGTCGCACACCTAGCAGCTCCATCAAGTCACAAACAATGATGTCAAAATGTTTATTAATACAGGATCTTAAAGATGAGCTTGAATCGTTTTGGAAACTGGAAGAAATATCCGATTCAACACAGCAGGTCTATCTCAAGAAGAAGCTGAATGTGAAAATCATTTCATTCAAACTACATATCGTGACTCAAACGGTAGATTTGTAGTAAAATTGTCATTAAAGAATAATCATTTATTATTAAGAATAATCTTTATGTAATTGAACGCAGATTCACTAAATCAAGCCAATTACAAACATCTTACAAAGAATTCTTTCAGGAATATGAAACACTTGGACACATGACAAAGATTGAAGACAAACATATAACCGCAGCAACACGAATTTGCTATCTACCGCACCATGAAATTGAAAAGCCTGAAAGCACCACCACCAAATTCAGAATCCTTTTTGATGGCTCAGCAAAGACTTCTTCTAATCTCTCTTTAAATGATGTACTCAAGGTGGGTCCAACCATACAGGAAGACTTATTTTCAATTTAATTCAATTTAGAACTCATAATATTGCACTAGTGGGAGACATAATTAAAATGTATCTACAGCGTGATCTACAGCGAATTTTATGACGAAGTCATCCATCAGAAGCTGTAAAGCATTACAAGTTAAACACCATAACCCACGAAACTGCATCTGTCGCATTTTTAGCTACAAGATGCTTAAAGCAGACGCCATAGACAATCAAGCAAAATATCCAATAGAATCAGAAAAGATAATTAGGGATTTTTATGAAGATGATCTACTAACGGGTAGCACGGACGTTGAATCCATGACAAATCTAATAATGAACATAAAGCAAATATTAAATGAATACGGATTCAAAATTGTAAAGCTACAAACTAATGACAATGAAATTTTAAACTCCTTGGAGGAAAATTACCCAAATAGCTATGTTATAAACAGCAAATCTGCTTCAAAGACGTTGAGTATATTATGGTTACCAAATCGTTTTGTATTACTTTCAATACAAAATAAACGATCCCAGTAATATTAACATATCAAAGCGGAACATACTCTCATTTACTGCTAAGATGTTTGATCGTCTCGGATTATTAAGTCCTATGTCCTAATACGAGCCAAGATTATCATCCAAAAGCTATGGCAACTTCAAATAGATTGGGATGAAGATTTACCTCAAGAGGTTGCACTGCAATGGCAACGATTTGCGGACGATTTAAATCATATAAATATCATCGATATACCAAGGCATGTCTTAGTAAGAGAACCTATTGACATACAACTACACGGTGTTGCAGATTCCAGTGAAATAGCCTACGGTTGTGCAATTTACCTGCGATCAATTGATACCAACGGAACCATCAATTGCAGCTTGCTATGTGCTAAATGCCAAATCTCGCGTTGCTCCTTTGAAAGCTACAACGTTACCTAAACTTGAACTATGTGCAGCACTTCTATTGTTAAGACTCGTAAAAATATGCTCGAAATAACTGAAGATCAAAATCCATACCACATATCTTTGGACTGATTCTACAATTACCTTATGCTGGATAAATAGTGAATCATCAAGATGGAAGACATTCGCGGCTAATCGAGTAGCTGAAATACAATTAAACACAAAGGAATCTAAATGGCATCACGTAAGTACCACGGAAAATCCCGCTGACATTATTTCGCGCGGTACAACACCGTCCAAACTTGTTAGCTCCAAACTTTGGTGGACCGGACCATCATTTTTGAAAGAAAACAACGACATATGGTATCGCGAAATGAAAGACAAAGGCAATACAGATATTGATCAATTACCTGAAATTAAAAACAACGAATTCGACATTTTTAAGCTGTATTCTTCCCTTAAAAGGTTAATACACATTGTAGCACTTTGTTTAAGATTTTACAATAATGTTAAGGGAACTTCAGAAAACAGAAAGCTGGGTGCATTAGAAAACTCGGAGATTTAAACAGCAGAAAAGACGTTAATACACCGAAAAAAATCTTGTTCATAATATCAATGAACAGTGGTTGTTGATTGATTTTCATTGTCTCAATGAAGTTTTTCGTTGACGCAATGAAGATTTGTTCATAGACTAAAAACCCTGTTTATCATTATTATGAACGCATATTCATTAACACAATGCAATATAATCATTATAGGAATGAAGAGTTTTCATTGGCTCAAAGAAGTTTTTTGTAATTACAATGAAGGTGTTCATCAAACTTTACATGGTAAATACTTCATTGTATTAAAGAAGAAGTTTCATCAATGCAATGATTTTAACTGCTAAGAATATTGTTCTTTATATCAATGAATAAAATTCATCAATCAGAAACCTACACCGCCGTATTCCGCGAATTAAGTCAGCGATTTCATTATCGTCAGACCACTGCGCTATCTATAAAATATTATATAACCATAGATCACGTTAACTGGTCGCATGGTCGGATCTTTAATAGTGATCAGTTGAGTGAAGAAGTGTGTATTTTTCCAAAAATATATAGTATCTACAGGTAAGACAAAAATAGGTACCTAACGCTTTTCGTTTTGTTATCAACTGTGTTTTTGTTAACAAAATACTGTTTTTGAAATTGAAATAAGGTACAAAACAACGTTTTCAAATTAACAAATCTCTAAGTAACCATTCAAACTCAAATTTCACATTCAGATGTCTGGAATGATGTAGTGAGGGTTTTCAAAATTTTGCTTTTTTTTAAAAGTCATGTCATTCGGGTTCATTATTCTAGGAATGCATCTTCTATAACTCCTTAATATCAAATGATAGTTTTAACGAAATATCAATAGATACCAACTCTGCTTCTAAATTTTTGCTTTGTCTTCATAACACTGACAGTTTTTCAAGAAAAAATGTGCTCCAAATTCAAGATCATGTTAATCAACACTTACTTGAGCCGTTATTAAATACATTTACGTCTTTGTTCACGGAATTTTGAAGTATAGTAATAATAATAATAATTATAATAATATATCTCTTTATTATCCAACAGGAAGACCCAATTACAGGATAATGTACCACAAAGAGAAGAAAAGGTAAAGTGAGATGTGAAGCGCACAAAACAAAAATTAATAGCAATTCAGATAAATTCAAAACAAAAACAAGAGAAAAAAAATAATAATATGTCACAATAGGGATATTTTACAAATTACAANAGAAGAGTATGTTGAATGGAATCAAAAGCTTTTGTTAGATCACATAGGATCGCTGTTGTTTCATCTCCATTTTCCATAGCTTCCCAAACATTATTAAAGAGAGCCTCCACAGCATCAATTGTGCTTACACCTTTTCTGAATCCAAACTGTTTGTTGCTGAGTAGCTTATAGTTTTCGAGATAAGATGTTAATCTGTCTAGTAGTGTTTTCTCAAACACTTTTGAAAATATTGGTAATATGGAGATCGGTCTATAATTAAAGCAATTTGACGGTTCTCCTTTTTTATAGATTGGTGTTACCCTTGCAATCTTCATTGCTCTTGGTACAACACCTTCTTCATAGCACGAATTTATTATATTAGCGAAAGGAGTAGATATTTGGTCGGCACTGTACTTTAGAATTTTAGTGTTTAGAAAGTGTATGTCCCTTGAACTTTTGTATTTCAAATGTGATATGGTTTCTTTAATTTCATTTAGAGTTACGGGTGTGAGGAACATGGAATGACTCTGAGATTTTATTTTAGCAGAAGCTGAAGCTCCAACGTTACATAGATTGTTGCCGATGCTTGAGAAAAATTTGTTTAGCTCATCCTTCGATGGTTGATTATCCGTTGTCCTCTTATTCCTTTGAATTTCGCCGTTGATAATTCTCCACATCCCAGCTTGACGATTACCACACTCTTGGATACTTTTAACATATTGATGCCTCTTACGCTCTTTCGCAAANAGCTCATCCTTCGATGGTTGATTATCCGTTGTCCTCTTATTCCTTTGAATTTTGCCGTTGATAATTCTCCACATCCCAGCTTGACGATTACCACTCTTGGATACTTTTAACATATTGATCCCTCTTACGCTCTTTCGCAAAATTAATATAAAAATCTTTGTAACTCTTTAGAATTTCTTTTAAATCTTCACCGCCACGGGAGTTATAAGTTTATTGTATGAGATTTAATGTTTCTTTCACCTACAGAGTTTGAGCATCCATTACATATTGTTTTCTTTTACGTGGTCTTTGTTGAATTGGGAAAGCGATATTCACGAAGTGTAAATATAAATTTAGAAAAACATCGTGTTTGTTGTCAGCCCCTACTGTATTAAAAACAGTGTTCCAAGTTTCATTTTCCAATAAAGTTTTGAACTGCAATTGTCCGTATTGTGTTAAACGTCGCATTCTGGTTTTGGTGTTGACTACTGGAATAGTTGGTAAGTCTAAAACGATTCTATGATGGTCAGAAATCCCAGATTTAAGAATGTTAATGGTGTATAGATCGACATTCGTGAATATGTCATCAATTGAGGTTCTAGTTGTTACAGACTCTCTTGTGTATTCAGAGCTAGTCGACTTTAAACCCCAGCAAGCCATAGTATTAATGAGTTCCCGTGTAGCCCCATTGAATATTAAAGTGTCTATGTTGAAATCTCCCGTTATGACGATTTTGGTTTCCGGTTCAAGAAACGTGTTTAAATTAGCGTTCAGAGATCTGTACGTAGGTAGTCATGATGATTATATCTAACTGCGTTAAATAGATTCCAGCTACTCACATTCCATTTCAATTGAGTGTGAAATCATTCTTTATATATCTTGAAAAAGATTAATCTTCAATTGTGGGCGAGGCACTACAATCTTTTAAAACAGGCGATTTCGTATTGATATACAAAATTCAGAGCCTTCAGATTCTCAACTGAGGTCTTAACATATAGTATTTATAATAAAATTTTCTTTTAGTTTACAGAAATAACGAATAAAATGAGTAACATTTATAGTACAGCAAAAATTTGTCCATATAAAACAAAAGATACTTGCACGGCATCGGAATTATTAACATTAGAACCAGGAATAGAAAAAATAATGTCTGAATCAACCGATTACGATGAATTACTTTACGCATGGACAGCATGGAGAGATGCAACAGGAGCTAAAATTAAACCCGAATATCAAAAATACGTTGAACTCAAAAACAAAATTGCAGCTAAAAACGGTAAAGTAATATCTCAATTTAGTGAAAATTAATAATTTATTTTTCTTGATTAAGGTAAAAACACCGCTGCTGAATTATGGCAAGAAGCTTACGAAACTGAGAACTTTGAATCAAAACTCGATGATTTATGGAATCAGGTTAAACCGCTTTACGACGAACTTCACAAATACGTTTCAAAGAAATTAAAAACTCGATATGGGGAAAAACTGGATATTGCTGATGGTTTAATTCCGGCTCATGTTTTTGGAAATATGTGGGCGCAATCCTGGGTTAATTTAGGTTCTTTGGTAAAACCATATCCTGATGCTAGTGCTGTTGATGTTACTCAAGCCATGCTCGAGCAAGGTTATACCGTTCTAAAAATGTTCGAGGAATCCAATAAATTCTACACCTCTCTTGGTCTTGAAGATAACGCAATGTCGTACGGAGCGAAGGCGATGATTACGAAACCGGATGATAAAGATGTTTTATGTCACGCTTCCGCTTGGGATTTTTGCGATGGATCAGATTTTAGAATTAAAATGTGCACGCAAATCGACATGGAGGATTTTATAACCGTCCATCACGAAATGGGACACATCCAATATTACCTTCAATATAAACAACTTCAAATTGCACTCAGAGGAGGTGCTAATCCAGGTTTTCACGAAGCCGTTGGTGATACAATTGCACTTTCTGTTGCCACGCCAAAACATCTAGAAAAAGTTGGTTTACTCCAAAACTATGTTGACTCCGAGGAAGCTTCAATTAATGCCTTAATGGACATGGCTTTAGAAAGAGTTGCATTCTTACCATTTGGATTATNCTGACTTTACTATAGCGTTAACATGGTCTTTGAATTGCAACTGGTCATCGAATAAGACACCCAAATCTCGAATAGCGCGTTCTCTGCGTATTGCTTCAACTCCCACACTATAATTAAACCTTAATGGGTTATTACACCTTGTGTAAGATACGACAACGCATTTTGCTATGTTAAGGTCAATTCCATTCTGTATTGACCAGGAACTGATAATGTTCAGATTGCGCTGTAAGATAACACAGTCTTCAGGGGATGTTACGCGAGCGAATATCTTTAGGTCATCGGCGTAAGCAGGCACATTACAATCAAGTCGTCGTAATAGATCGTTCAGATAAACATTGAATAGAAGGGGACCCAGGTTGGAACCCTGTGGAACACCAGAGCCAACAGTGAACGCATTAGATTTAAAACCGTTGTAGCTCACATAGCAAAGTCTATTGGAGAGGTAAGATGAAATTAAATCCACGAAATCATTGGTAAATCCAAGACTGCAGAGTTTAGAAAGAAGTATTCCATGATCTAATCTATCAAATGCCTTTGTAAAATCTGTGTAAATTATGTCAACTTGTTCCCGTTTATCCATGTGCTCGCTGATGAACTGCGTTACCTCTGCTAAATTAGTCATAGTTGAACGACCAGTCATAAATCCGTGCTGATGATCAGATATGTATGGGCGAACACAGTAACTCATTCTGGAGTATAGCAACATTTCGAAGACTTTCGAGCAATTGTTCAAAATGCTAATAGGTCGGTAATTTTCAATACTAAATCTGTCTCCCTTCTTAAAAACCGGCGTTATCCGAGTTTTTTTCCATACTGCAGGAAAAGTTTTAGTTTTTAAGCATAAATTAAACATAAAGGTTAAAGGTTTGCTGAGGAAGGGTGCACAATCTTTAATAATAAAACTTGGGAGACCGTCGTCGCCAGCGGTAGAGTCATTCTTTAGTCGTTTCATACAGATTTCTACCTCCTCGATAGAAAATGGAGTAATGTAGAAGGGTCCAGGCCAGTTGACTTGCTGGTTACAGTTACCGATAGTTGTAAGTCCAGGATTGAAGGCTTCAGAAAACAAGACAGAGAAGGCCTGCACTATTTCCAGGGGATCAGAGATTTCAGAGCCAGCAAAGGTCATGCAGCCTGGAATACGCGAATTACCATGTTTCTGATTCACGTAACGCCAGAAATTTTTGGGGTCGGTCAATATACAATTTTCGGTATTCACGAGATAAGCCTGATAATCAGAAACTATTGCATCCTTGGATAAACGACGCAACCTAACATATTCATCGTAATATGATAGCTGTTTAGAACTCTTCCACTTCTTAAAGTAGTGCTCCTTCATATTCAATATACGCTTAGTGCTTCCAGTAAACCATAGAGGAAATTTCGACGGCGATAAGCAGTATTTGGGTACATGTTTTTCAATAACGTTATAGATATTATAGTAAAATTTTTCCACAGCAATATTAATATCCGAGCACATCAATATATCAGACCAGACAACACGACCAATATCGTCATACAATCCACGAAAGTCCGCTTTACGGAAGTTAAAACGAAGGTTGTTATTTGATGGAAACACTAGAGCATCTTCAATATTCTGAGATTTAATGGAGATGTTCAGTGCAGGATGATTAAAGTTTTCAGTAAGTAAGGGTGCAACGTCACGCTCTGCAGTTACTTCGCAGTTAAAGTTAGTAAATACTAAGTCGAGTATCCTACCTCTAGAGTTGTAGATATGGTTATGTTGAACTAGGTTTAAAGTATCAACAAAGTTCTTCAAAAGGAAAGATTTGCGGTCGAGGCTATTCTCGGACATCACAAAACGGAAGCAATTAAAGTCGCCACAAATTATAATATTCTTTCCAATCAAGCTGATACTAAGCGAATCAAGAAACAGTTCCAAATCATCCAGCGGAACATCAGGAGGTATGTATAGTGTAATAATAAATATGCTGATCGAGAAATAGACACATTTACCAACAACCACATCAATTAGCGGGGCAAGATTTAAAATCTCGGACATATCACAGTTGAACAATTTGGTTTGCTGACTGCAGGCAATAAGAACGCCACCGCCCACTCTTCTATCCACAAGACGGTGATTACGATCATTTCTAATTACATTAAATGTAGTAGGCAGCAACTCAGAGTTGGTGATGTCCGGAGACAGCCATGTTTCGGTAAGCAAAATAATATCGAAATCGGTAGAATTTGTGGCTGTGCATAATTGGTGAGTTTTTGTTCGTAGTCCTTGCACATTCTGATAAAATAAACGAAGTGTGTGGGTCTTCTTGTTGGATTCTATTAGTTTCCCCGTTGGATACTTCGGTCACTGTCAGATGATACAATTCTAGGTGACCCATTCACATATTTAATTCTTATGTTCACCTCGCCGGCGGCAATGCGGGTATCAAGCTGTGTTTTGAGAGATTTGTAGAAAGAATTTTGCAACGGTGTTTTGTCTGTTGTTAAAACAACAGCTTTGAACTTATCAGATTTTAATAATGACTTAATGTTCCTAAGAACATTGTGAACTACATCAGAGGAGGAAAAAGAGATTTTCAATGGGCGCTTACGATTCAATATCGACGGATCAAATTTACCCAATCGCTTTACAGTAAAATTAGGTGTCTGGACTTTCAAATAGTTAAGTATCTCTTTTATAGATCTAACATCATCATTTTGCTGGTCAACTTTACTACCATCCGGAAGCTCAGGCAAGTTGAATGCTACTAGATTACTCTTACGTTTTTCCCGGTCCGAAATCTCTTGAACAATGCTTTCAACATATGACTGATCCACAGCCGGTCCCGCAGTAACGGTGGAGGCGGCAGAAGAACGTTCAGTTCTAAGGATTTCCAGATCCTTCTGCAGAGTTACAACAAGGCTTGTTAGTTCGTGTAACTTTTTTAGTTGTTGCTTAAGATCAGCACATGTTGGACAATGAAAAGTCAATTTTCGATTTTTAGATTTTAGCAACTGAGATTCGTTTCTTGATAAACCACTGCATGAAGTATGAATAAAAGTACGACATAGGTCGCAAGAAATCTCAATTGTAGGGTTTAGGTCACCCAAACATACACCACAATTAGTACTCATAATCACACAAAGTGGGATAAGGATAGGTAGTACACTTTCACGCTGGCGGGCCGATACCAGCGACTTAAACAGAGATACGGGCCGTGGAAGACAAGGAAATAGGTAATGGTGAGAAAGAAGTAAGGAAAAGAAAGGAAAAAAGAATTTAGATAAATCCAAACTAGAACCAACAAACGCGAGGATTTTGATTTGCCCTGTACATACGATGATAGAAGGAGAGAACTCACGTTCAAGCAAAAAGCGGCCGAGATGAAACACGTTTCAACAAACATCGAAACCACTTACGGTTATCAATATAACACATATGAAGTTGTTACTGCCTATTTATTAATTTATAGGTTTAAAAACAAACAGCACTGATATTATAAAGGTATACTAGGTCCCCAGATAAGAAGAAAAAATTAACAGAAGCGCGTATTTACCAAGAAAAACCACCTTAAAACGGAGCGCGACAGAAAGTGGACTACACAGTCTCACGTCTAAAAAAAAAAGTGTCAAATTGTAGAGATCATTTAAATGTTTCGGATCAGAGTATGTACTTATTTTATAATTTTTTAAAAGCTAAAGGTTCCATTGAATGTCTTAAAGAAATTACTATTGATAATGAAGTAAAGCCTGTACATCGTAAATAAAAAATAAAGAAACAAAAACTAAAGCTGTATTAATCTATAGGCGAAAATACTAGTGCAGTCCAAAAGGAAATATGTTAGTGGAGTACTATAATAAATTTTCTTGCTTTCAAGAGGAACAAAGAAATTCATTAATTGCATTGATTGCACATTATTTTGAAGAAAAAGGATTCAAATCAACGCTATCTGGTAGCTATCAGCTTGAAAAAGAAATTTTGGAAGGAACCCTTCAGAAAAGTTTCTAATTCTTTCTTCAAATTGAAACTTCTTTCAAAATCAACATAATTTATTTACTAACATATAATCATTATAATAATATAATGTTTAATTGACAATTTTAGTTAATAATGTTTAATTTAGGATTTATACTAAGTACTACAACTCAATGACGACCTTCAAGAGGGCTGTTTCCAAATATGTAACTTCAATTACAACAAAAAAAGGTTAAAAAAGGTCGAGGCATGAGGATATTCTAACAGGTAAATCTGCACTCACAGCTTGATTAAAAGTTCTAAAAAAAACCTATTTTCAGAACCTGAAGAAGATGTAGAATCCTATTTAACGGCTTTTAAATTCGATAATCTCACTTCAAAACAGTTTGATGCTACATGGAAAGCATGTTCCCAGTAAACAAGAAACATCTGTGAAACATTTCAATTTTAACGTACAATGAATTAAATGAAACATTGTACAAGTACGTTTCATATACGTGACAGATACGATTGTTACGAAACGTATCTAAAGATATGTATCAAATACATTTCAGTAGGAATATTTATGAAATATCATTAAAATATGTAGCAGAAACATTTCATTTGAAACATTTCTCTATAAATGTGTCTGAAACATGTCTGAATATCTTCATCAGCGCCTGTGAACGTATGCGCATGTTCCAGGACGCGGTGACTCATCAGCATCTTGTCACGACTTGTTCTATTGTGTGTTTTGTTCTGTTCAGTTCTGTTCTCAGTTCCTTCGAATCGTTTTCTATATATCTGTTCTGTGGCTCGAATATTGGTTTAGAATGGCGCAGGTAAGTTTCGTATAAGTTTTTTTATATATCACCACTAGGTTTAGTTATTTTTAAATTTATCTAAAAACATTCTTGTTTAAAATGGTGGCTTAAATCTTGTGATTGAATTTAGCCGAAGAATATTATATTGACATAAAGTTATTCCTTAACCAACGCGATGTATTCGCAGCAACGGCGATTGTTAGCTTGATAATGTTGTCGCCAAGTCGACACGGCGGCAAATGAACATGCACAAACGTGCCC